AAGGCCTGGAAGATTTCCTGGAAGAGGTGGGGAACAAGCCAGAAAGGCCTAGGGCAGAGAACCCAAGAAGGTGGTACAGGGAGAGGGGTTTTTGGTATGAGCCTCAAGGTCCCTACTGTTTGTGGGAGGGAGACCTGCCCATCTATTCCAGATGTACTCTCCCTCAGAGGAGAGGGCCCACAGCCATCAGGGGCCTGGGAGCAGCAGCAAGGCTAACCCCTGCCCCACCTGGACCCGAAAACGGATGAGGTCGCTGGCCCTGAGCCATCAGTTTTCTACCCTCTGACTCAACACCACAGCAAATGCCTGGGTCTATACCATATCCCACCCTCAGACCTTTTTTTCCCTCACTATAAACATTTTTAAAAAATTATTATTTTTGGATATCTTGGTTACAAAAAAAATTTTTCATTTAATTTACAATTGTTTAAGTTGTCTAGGGTCATCAAGCACAGTGGGAAAACTTGTAAAGTGAAAAATCTAGTCCAAAGACTGTTCACAAATACAATAAACTATTTTCTTATTTTAAGTTTAAAAATAACATTGACAGGGGCACCTGGGTGGCTCAGTGGGTTAAAGCCTCTGCCTTCAGCTCAGGTCATGGTCTCAGGGTCCTGGGATCGAGCCCCGCATTGGGTTCTCTGCTCAATGGGGAGCCTGCTTCCCCAGCACCACCACACCCCCAACCCCTGCCTGCCTCTCTATTTGTGATCTCTGTTTCTCTGCCAGGTAAATAAATAAAATCTTTTTAAAAAATAACATTGACATTGTGTTAGCTCTGCACACATTTAATTATGTCTTCATGCATCTTGATATCATCGCTGCCCCCTTACTGTATTCCGGAGACCGTTTTCTCCTGAGCGCTAAGCTTTGTAGAAGGCCCCAGACGCTCAGAGGCCAGGCCCGGTGCCCGTGGCTGGCTGGCTTGGGCAGCGGACACTCCAGTCCAGTCAAGTTCAACGGGGACTCTGATGCTGGCTGTGGTGACCTGGCAGGTCCTGCCCCTTGTCTCCATGTGTAGGGCCAACGGTTAGAGGCACTTGCCGATCAGGGCTGATGTTCGTATCCCTGCCACTTTCGGGGCATTCCTTTGTGCCCTGCCCACTCCTGCCTGGGTCTTTCCATGGATCCTTCTTTCACCCCAAAGCCACCCCGAAAGGCAGGTACTGTCAAGTGTTTTATAGGTGGGAAACAGGCTGAGAGAGGCTAAAGTGAGCTGGCCAAGGTCTCGTGGCCAGACTAGAATTCAGGGACGATTTGGGGGAGAAATGCAGGGACAAAAGTCCCCTGGACTCCCCTCTGGTGCTGGTGCACACCGGACATCTCAGGGCAGGGGAGCCAAGGCTTCTGGGAGGCTGGCTGTCATGCTGGGCTGGACCTGGTCCTCGGATGACCCCAGGCCAGGCTCTGTGTCCCCCCACACCACAGTCCCAGAACCTGCCTGCTGGGACGTAACCAAACATGGCCTGTCCCCCACTACACCTGCCATGGGTCAGGGAAAGGCAGGCTGTGGGCTGTCCAGGCAAGCAGGCAGCCCCTCACTCCCAGCCTCCTGCCCAGAATGCTGGGGCTGTGGACCTAGGTGGGAGCAAAGAGTCCACCCCAGGGACGGAGTAGGCAAGGAGAAGGTGAAGCCAGGGGTGGGGCATCCTGGAAGCAGGAGGAGGTGACTTTGGAGAAAGAAGGGCCTTGAACACCTTGTCCTGAGGGCACAGTGTGTATGGGGGTGTGCTTCCTGGTGCCGTGCTGGGAGCCATGGGTGTGTTCCCAAGGCTGTAAGGTAGAGGTGAAACTCTGGGTCCAGAGAAAGGGAGCCAGGGCCCAGTAGGTGTGGGGCAGGCTAGGAAGCAGCTTTCTAAAGGCTTCTTTCCCTCTGATGTCCTTAGGGCCTTAAATCCCCTCGTGTGATCCTAGGGGTGGGGAGTAAGTCTGCCTTTACCAAGCTCCTGGGCCAGAAATCCATGCCATCCCCCAAATACTGCAAGAGGTCAGTACTCCCATCCTCCTTTTATAGCCAGGGGAGCTGAGGCTAGGGTGAGGGTGGGGGAGGAAACCAAGAAATGTGGGCAGAGGGGGCCTTCCAGCCAAATCGGGATGTCCCTTCTGGATTCAGGCCCCACTCCTTCTCTTAGAGTCCCTATCTGGAGCTCTGGGGTGGACCAGGCTCCCCTAAAAGACAGGCAGGGGAAAGAATCTGGGGGATGGCACAGTGACGGACATGTGTGCTGGTGCAGGAGGGATGCACGGTGGAGGGCCCCTGCAGCCGGGATGCTTGGAGAGTCCTCTGGAGTGGGGGGCAGGAGAGGTCTATGCCCCCTCTTGGGCTCTAAATGGTGAGAGGTCTGCGTCTTTCCTCAGGGCCATGGACTTGGGCTAGTTCCCGCTGGGACAAGGCCCTGTGCCGGAGTGGGGCCGAAGGGCTGGGCAGGCATGAGAGAGGGGTAGGTGAGGTGGCAGCTGGCCTAGCTTGGGCTCAGGGAAGCCTCCCTGGAGGAGGTGACACAGCCCCGTTGGAGACCTGCCTTACAGCGCCGGGCCGGGGGTGGCACAGGGCCTGCAGCTTTGGACCCTGGGCCAGCCAGCTGTACCTCTGCTCTCTGTCATCCCCCGCCCCCGCAACATACCCGGCGAGGGCACATTGACACTTGTGGGTGTGGAGCCTTGGCTGGCCCCAAGTGAGATCAGCACCACCCCACCCCTGTTCGTCCCCCACCCACCCACAGCCCCCAACCTTGCACCTTAGTGTCTTCCCTGGGGGGCTGTCTGGCTCACAAGGCTCCTCCCTGGTTGCCCCCTAGGCCTGGGGTCCTGAGGCCTCTGCCCACACCAGGCCCTGGCCCTCCTGCCCAGTGCCTAGTTCACGGTCGACTTCTCCCCTCGCTCCCACACACTGCTTGCCCTCCAGTGCCACCGACACTCGCAGGTACTGCTTGGCCCCTGGTGTTGCTGGGAGAGGGGACCCCAAAACAGCCTAGCTGCAGATGGAGGCAAGGTGGGGCCACCCTCTTTCCTCTCGGGCTGGGATGCGTTGTGCGTGTGTTCCCGTGGTCACACCTGGGTGCTTGCTCTGCGGGCTGAGACACACAGCAGCCCTCATGCCTCCTGGCAGTTTGTAGGGTGGCCCTTTGGTAGGTATCATGGACAAGCTGCCAGCTCTAGGACTGGGTCAGCAACCTACCCTTCGCATAAGCAGGGATGAAGGGACTCTGCCTCTGAGGGGGAGGGATGCAGGGACAGAAGTCCCTTAGGATTCCCCTCTGGTGGGGATCTGCAAAATGCTGACCACCAGCTGGTGAGCCTGGGGTCCTGCTTCCTATACCCCTGAACTCTGCAAGCCTCTGTGCCCCCAGAACTGGCACCCTCCTTTACCCTGCACAGCATGATCCAGGGCTCTGTCCTGGATCGTGAGGCAGGAGCAAGAAGGGCTGGGGTTCCTGTCAAGGGGTTGTCTTAATGTCCATGCAGGGCTGTCTAATGGCAGTAGCAGTGATCCCTGTTGGGTCCTGCTGAGCTCTGCTGGGAGGGTTGGGGTGTAGACAACACATCCCTAACCCCATTTCTCAGGTCACGCAGCTGTAGTTCCCACCCCTGGCAAGTAATGTGAGGCCAGGAAGGGTCTTGGTCTCCATGCTCCTGGGTTACCAGGCCCAGGTCACATTTAGGGTAGCGCTCATCTACCTGCCCCTGGGATTGCAAGGAGACCCTGGCCAGTCCCCACACCTGAGGATTCCTGGCTTATCTGTAAATTGGGGAGTTCAGAAATTCCCAAGGGAATGCATATGAAACCTCTAGCAGATCCCAGGACAGGAAGTGCCCAGATGTTTAGTTTTGGTTGTTTTGTTGGCAGCAGCAGTACCCCATGTTGAACTCTGGGCAGGGTGGTCAGGGTCCAGCTACCTTATCCTCACACTCTCCAACCTGCCCGTCCCCTCCTCAGGGGCTCCCAGGCCACTAGTCTCAACAACTAGCGAGAAGGAAGACCGAGGGGACCCAGGGCCAGTCTGGGGCTGCGTCCAGGCTGCCAGACCCCGTTCCCACGGAGCCAGCTGAGGGGCAGGAGCCACTAGGGGCCCTGCAACAGCCAGGAGCTCGATGAGGGCCTTGCTCCCCTCCCACAGAGGGCAATGCTCTTCCCCAGAAACCGCTTCTTTGGCCAGAGGGGACCAATGCCCGGAATGTCTTGGAATGTGCCCACTCTGCAGACCAAACGCGAGCACGCAACCGTCCACTCTTGGGGGCCCCTTCCTCCCCGGGCCTCTCCCTGTTGAGATGCGGCTCAAGGAGATCTGGCTCTTGCGCGCTGATCCTTCTACGTCCCTCCCCCGAGCTCCGCCCTTCACTGGGGTCACTCTGCGTCCGGCGGGAAGCGGTGTCGTGCGCAGCCCACGCGACACCCCCGAGGAGACCACGAGGTCCCGTGGTCCCGCAGAGCCAGAGCTGCGGCGGCTGTCCCCGGGCAACAGGTTCTTGCACACGACGTTCAGACCCCGCGGACCGGCCAGGAGCACCCGACGCTCCCCGCACCCTAACGGACCCTGGGGCGCGGGCACCGCGGCGTGAGGTCCCACGACTCTCTGCTTCCTCTCGGCAACGCGTCGGGCCGCGGCGCCCTCATTGGCCGCGCGCCCCGCCGCGGCCCATTGGTCCGCGGTCCCTATTTTACATAGTTCGCTCTAGGCCAATCGGCGCATGGCGCCTACTTAACATGCACGCCAGCCGCCAGTCAGCGAGCGCGGGGGCCGGGCCACCACGTGCTGTTGCTAAGCTTGGGCTTCTAAATTGTTACTACCGCGGCGGGCCTATCGGAACCGAGCTTAGCATCTGTCAACATTCTCGGCCCGGCCCGAGGCGTTCGGCCAGCTCCCATTGGCCCCGGCGCGGCCCAGCGCCCGCCCCCGGGGCCGGAGCGCCGGCCCCCATTGGCTGCGCCGGCCGCCGCTCGCCCTTATGTGTCAATTTGAGGGCCCGAGGCGGAGGGTGGCGGCCGAGCGCGCAGGGAGTCGGCGGAGTCGGGGAAGTGGGGCCGCAGGGCGCGTGGGGCGGGCGGCGAGCGGAGCCGGCCGGAGAGGGCCGGGCAGCGGCCGCCGCCGTCCCGGAGAGCGCGGGTGCGCGCGGGCGGGCGGACGATGGAGCTGAATTCCCTGCTGATCCTGCTGGAGGCGGCCGAGTACCTGGAGCGCAGGGACCGAGGTAGCGCCCGCGCCCCTTTGTGCGCCGGGCCGCGGGCGGGCGGGCGGCGGCGGGGCCGGGCCGGGGCGGGGCCGCTGACCGCGCCGTGTGTCCGCAGAGGCAGAGCACGGCTACGCCTCGGTGCTGCCCTTCGACGGCGACTTCGCCAGGAAGAAGACAAAGGCGGCCGGCCTGGTGCGCAAGGCCCCGAACAACAGGTACCGCCCCCCGCGCGGCCGCCCCCCAGCCCGGTCCCCGGGGCGTCCCTCGGAGCGCCCCCCTCCCCGGGCCCCGACCCCCGCGCCGCGGCCCGGCCGCCGGCCACGCGCCCCGGCGGCCAGCCTGGAGGAGGAGGCGCGCCCGGGCCGCGGCCGCAGCCCCGCCCGGCCGGCCCCGCCCGCGCCGTCGCCATCTTCCCGCGGGCCGCGCCTCCTCGGCCTCTCGCGTAAACAGTGCCACGCGTACAGCGCCCGCCGCTCGGGGTCTCCTCCCGTAGCCGCTCCCGCTCCCAAGTTGTTCTGGACTTTTCCGGTCACGAGAAAAGTTGTCGGGGGCACGGGCCGCTGCCCCGCGAGTCCGGGGAAACTGAGGCTCGGAGCACAGCAGCGTGGGATGGCCCGCCCTGGTCTCTGCTAGTCGCGGGAGGGTGGGCCGCTTCTCCCCTGCTGCTGGGCCGAGTACGCCCACCCCCGGGGGGCCCGGACAATGAAGGCGCACGGAGGCCCTTCCCGGGGCCCCCACCCCACCGCGGAGTCCATTCTCTTGACCAGTCTGCTGACATTGGTGGAACCGCGGCGACAAGTGCAGGGGTCCCCTCTTTGGGACAGGAGGCCCTTTTGAAGGGGAGCCTGAAGAGGTGCAGGCCGCCGTGCAGCGGCCCTCCCCCACCTCCCTTCTTTTGGCCTTGTTCCCAGGCTGGAGAAGCAGAAAGCTGGGGTGCACATCCCTGCGGAGGGGGAAGGACCCCGAGCTAGGGTTCCGTGGGGTTCCACTCTCCCCGCTGCCATCAGGACCACCCCACACCTGGCAGTGCCTGGGGGCCCACTTTGGCTCTGGACCATGTCACCAGGCGGGGAGCTGGGCTTGCTGGGGGCTTCAGGGCCCCTTGGCAGAGGGTGCAGCTCATTCCTGTGGCCTGCCGGTTCTTGGGAAACAGAAAGGCTGGCACAAGGACCCATCTCCTGTGACGTCCTGGCGCCCTGGGCCTGGCAAGGAGTTGGTTGAGTCTCCATCTGCCCTGGCTGGACGGGCCTCCCAATGCCAGCCCCTGGTCCCCTGCTGAGGATAGTTTGGGAAGAGATATGTGAGGGGGGCACCGCGGCCTCAGGCCTCCTGGATGAACCAGCCAGGCCCCGCTGTTGGCTCTCACTGCCCCTAAATACCCTGGGGCCCATGGAGAACTCCTGGGCATGACCTTGGACTCCCATGAGGTACCCAGAGTTGATAATCAGAATCCCAGCTATGACTCTGGGGGCTTCGGGGTGCTGAGTAGGTCAGGATCTGCTACTGTTTGCCCAACCCAGGACAGATGTGTTATTTTTATCTGCATCTGAAGGCTGAGGAAACAGGAACAGAGAAATTGAATTCCTTGCCTGGGGCCACCATCCCATCCCTGGAAACCCCATCCTGAGGTGGGGTCCTGGCCTTCTCCATTTTGCCAGGCAGAGACCTTCAGGGCGTTGGGGAGGGCCAAGGTGGTCTCCTGGGCTGCAGTGCTCTTCTCTGCTGTTCCTCTGGGCCCAGACCGGGGGCAAGGACCAAGCAGGGCCTTAGAGGATCTGGGGCCCTGACTTGGCTGGCAGGGCAATGCCACCCTGAAAGGCATCTTCGTCTCACCATGATGAGGGAAAAGGATGGGCACTGGTGGGACCAGGGCAAGGAGGGGGGCGGGAGGGCAATGTGTGTGGGGGGAGGCCCCACAAGTCCCAGAAAGGGCTTTGGGGGGCAGTGGTTCAGCAAGAGGGAACTGGAGCCAGCCTGCTGGGGTGCAGGCTCTCGGAGAACATGGCCAGGAGAGTACCTGCTTGGGGCTGCTGACGCAGGGTGTGAGCCAAGGGATGCCAGGAATGTACCTAGCCGAGCCCCAGCCTGGGGTCCCCCCTCTCCCCAGGCCCAAGGAGGGTGTTCCTGGGACCCATGTTACAAACCTGCCATAGGCTATCACAGGTGTCTGGACCTGGGAGGGGCCCCAAGAGGGGCTCTGGGCCTCTCTCCATCCTCTAGCTAGCCAAGGAGTGACCCCCCCCCCAGGATGGGGTCTAGCCCAGCCTGGAAGGGAGTGGCCAGACGCAGCTCTCTGTATTGAAGGACACTCACTGACCCTTAACCTCATCCACACGTGAGCAGACCTCCAGACCCACACGGAGGGACTGTGGTTCAGACCTTGCGGAGCTGATGGCTTTGCTCCCTCCTGGTCCTGGCCAGTCCTGGCAGAGGTTGAGGCTCCCTGCCTGGCTCATGTGACAAGCAGGCCCTCCAGGCTCTCCTAACACTGCACAGGGAGGCCCCGGGGCTGACTGCCTTGCTGAGCAGAGGGGAGGCCTTGGGCCCCAGTTGGCTTTGGTGGGGCCATGGATCATGGCAGGCCACAGAGGTGGGAAGGATGGGCAGGCACTCCAGCTTGTGGGATGGGGACGGGTGATACACTGTCCACAGTTCCTGGAGCAGGGGGGTAAAGGCAGGCAGGCAGAGGTCAGTAGAAGCTCCCGAAAAGAGTGAGGGGTGGGGGGACAGCACTCAATCTGGGTGTCCCCTGAGGTGGACATAGGAGTGCCTGAGTGCCCTCTGCTTGCATGCGAGGCAGCCAGGTAAGCCTAGGAGCCCTGGCTGTCCATGGAGTCCCCACCTGGACTGCGAGGATGATGGGGAGCTGGGAGATTGGCCCTGCTGTATTGTTGTCCTGCAAGGCACGTGCTGTGGCCCTGACTGCCAGGGCACTCAGGACTCTGTACTCCTGTCTGGATTGGCCAGCTGGGCAGAGTTTGAGCAGTAGATAGGGCCCCTGTACCCAGACCGTGGCCACAGAGGGAAGTGAGGGCCAGCCTCAGTCTCCCTCCTGCCCACTGGCCTGGGGAGCATCCACATGGTGGAGGCATCCTTATGTGCTGATCCTTTTGGGGCTGGGTCTCCTCTGTCCCTGGGTGTCCCCAGTGCTACGATGAGCTGTGACGATGCAGGTGGGAGAGACCAGCAGGGTGAGAATGGTGCTCTGGCTGGGTCCAGGCCAGACTACCCTGCCCCGTGTCTGTGCTCACCTTCCCTTGACTCTCTGTGCTAACTCCCGTAGTTCCAAAGATACCGCTGGCCTCTAGGAGGGGGGAACATAGAAGGCTGGTGGCTCAGGGCCTGGAAAGTCTGGGGAGCACAGGGTGGGTTAGTCCTAGTACTCCTAGTACCTTCTGAAAGGGGCCTTGGGCCCTCCTGCTGGCCAGAGCCCCCACAGGCCTCCCGAAGTAAGCTGGGTGGCCCTAGGCACCCCTGGATACAACTGCACTTCTGTGTCTCCTGTCCTTGTCACTTAGTGCCAGGTTCTCCCACCCCCATCTTCACTAGGCAGCCACTCTGGCCCTGCCCAGCCTGAGGCATCCTGGGGCCCAGACCCTCTCTGCCACCGTTGGCAGGTCCCCAGGCCCACAAGTTATGCTGTCATTCCTGTCCTGGTGACCAGGCAGCAGAGTGAGCTCTGTCTTTCTGTCTCTCTAAACAGGTCTTCACACAATGAACTAGAAAAGCACAGGTAAGTGATCCCCTGTCCCCCACTTCTGGTCGCCCCTATGAGTCGCCTGATGCATCCCACCGCCCCCCTTCTGCTGTGGGGATGCTGTGGCCACAGCCCCATGCCTCCTAATGTGTCCTGGGTGTGGCCTATGGTGCTGCCAGGCTGGGCCCTTACTGAGGAAGGGTCTGTCTTAGGAGGCAGTGTCAGGCTCTGCTCTCAGGCACTCCTATGCCAGGGGGCCGGAGATGGGGGCCCAGGCGCTGCTCTTGGAAGTTCTGAGTCGGGGGCAGGGCCTTGGAGCAGGACCCTCTGTGCTGGGTGATGGTCAGGCCACGCTCTCTGGAGGAGGAGAGCCATATCTAAGCCCCTTCGGGAGCAGCTTGTGAGCCCTTAGGATGCCGGCTTCCAGCCAGGAGGGTTTGGCCCTCTTAGTCTGGGGTCCCCTGCACCCTGGGGCCTGCCTTCCAAGGAGCTCCTGCTGGTCTTGTGTGGGGCCACTGGGAAAGGTACCCAGTCTCTGGCCACATGGGCCTGAAGGGACGCTTTGGCTCAGGGCAGGATCCAGGGGAGCCCCCTTCATGCCCACCTACTGGCTGTGAGTCTGGATCTGTGCTCGGTCCTCTGGGGAGTGGGAGGGCTTGGGGAGAGAAGCAGGGCAGGGCAGCACTGTTGCCAGAGCTAGGTCCCAGGGCCCCTCCCTGGCTGACCCCAGCTTGGGTGCTGCAGGCCTGGCTCTACCCTCAGGCTCCGTTACCCTGGGCCTCCCCTGAAGTAGGGACAAGGCACAGACAGGCTCAGCCCTGCAGACAGGGACCCTCTGGATCTCAGCGGGGTGGTGGGAGCTGGGGGTGGGTACAGAGGCCCTGAAGGCAGGAGCTGTGGTGCCAGGACCAAGGGACGGCACATGGTAGCTTTTTCCTGAGCTTTGCTCCCATCTGTGAAATGGGCCAGCTCTTTCCACCCTTCTTGGGTCAGCATGGGAGGGGGGCTTCTGCATACAGCTGAACTCGCAGCCTGCTCTGGGAAGGCTTGGAGCTTGGCCAGTTCTATGTGTCCTCCGCCCGCCCCTGCTCTACGCCTACGGCAGCACCAGCTTCCGCTCCCCTGGGATTCGGCCCTCCGCTGGGCGGGCGCTGGGCAGGGACAGGACGCAGTGTTCTCTGGAGGAACCATACTTCCTGGACTGGTCCTGTGTTTGAGGGGATCCCGGGAGGCCATGGAGGTGGGGCAGGTGCAGGGGCCCCGAGAGCCAGGCAGGCCCCAGGCTTGCTCCCTGGCTGGAGGAGGTGGCCAGTCTCCGCTGAGACCGGGGAACCTGGACAGGCACATGGGGGGGTGTTTTGCAGAAGGCTTCCTGGGGTGGTGCCTGGGAAGACAGCCCCTCATGCAGACAGAGGGGACGAGGCCGAGGGAGGGTGGGTGCCAAGGGCATGGCAGCCTGTAGAGAAGGACAGGTTGCTAGTCTTTGACCCCTACAACTGCCCCTTGACCCTGGCCTTGGCCTCAGTCACCTTCTACCAAGGCTCCCCCTGATAGGCTGGGCCTTGGGGTCTTTTTGAGACACAGAAGCTGGATAGATGGGTGACTTGAGATCTCTGTCCACTCCCCCATCCCAGTGCAGGATCCTGTTCCTGGCTGGCCAATAGGCAGCTGTGGATAGCCGTGAGGAGCCCTTGGTGGGGACTGGGGTCATGGCTGTGCCTGTGGCTGCCTAGCGCTGATGCAGGATGCTGCTGGCTGCTGGCCACAGGAAGGAAAGAAGCACTGGCTGGGTCACCCGGCCAACTCCGGGGAGGCGGGTGCACAGGCCCTGGACATTGCCTTCCCTGGAGGTATGCCTCCATTGGGCCTGTGGGGTTTCCCCTTGCCTGTTCTTTGAGCCAGCCTGGTCATCCTGAGGCCTGTGCAGCCTGGCCCTGATCCTCCTCCCAGGCCTCGTAGGAAGCCGTTCCTGCGGGTCTGCTAAGGCTGGCACTCCGCTGCTGACTCCAGGGCCGGCGGCCACGGAGGTCAGGTGCTCCCAGGCAGGGTGAGGCTCCTGGCCCCAGCTCCAGGCTTCAGCCTTTGTGGATGGAGGCACGGAGCTCCCACCACCTAGCGCAGGGGCTCACGGTCTTTATAAATCCCCTGACAAGTAGAAGGTGCAGGTGAGCAGAAGGAGCAACCGGACCTGTGCTTGCCTCCCCGCCCCCCACCCCAGCGCCTGCCGCACCCCTCAAGGGAGCCACAGTTCACTGCGTCTCCCTTTTCTCCAAGCAGCCAGGCCTGGGGTGGCTCAGTGCGTGGCCGTGCAGACACTGGGGGACATGGCTCAGGAGCTCTGGGTCTTCCTCCCAGGAGCGGGGGTGGGGGTGGGGGCTCGTGGTGAGAAGCTAGGAAGGACCTGTGTCCAGAGCTGGGTTGTGGCCGGCAGCCAGAGACCGAGCTGCTGTTAACACTAATGCAGTGATTCCCAGAGGCAGCTCCTGCCTCCTGAATCCCACAGGCTTCCTTCAGGAAGTGGTGAATTTTCAAAGCTCCCAGGAATGCCAGGACAGCCACAGGGCCCTGGCGGTGGGCCGGGGGCACTGTGGCAGCCTCCGAGGAGGGCTTGGCTGGAGCCAGAATAGCCCCGGGTGGCGGGGCCTCAGCACCCCCTCCCGCTCCCTACAGTGGCAGACCACCTGGGCCGACAAGGGTGGGGACCTGCCTGGGCCCCCACGGCCGGTGCTTGGCAGAACTGGGTCCTTGCCCCACCGAGGCTGCAGTCCTGGCCAAGTGCCCCGGGGACTCGGGCAGCCGCATTGTCTAGTGCTCAGCATCGCACGGGGATGGTCCTGCAGACTGTCTTTGTCCCTTGAGGAGCCTCTGCTTTAGCATTTCTAAAGCAGTCTGTCCACGTCTATGATGGATGCTCGGGGGACCCCGGTGCCCCTCCTCCCCCAGAGAGAGCCACCCTAGGTGGCTGGGAGGCCACCTGCACGCCCCCCCCCCCAGATACTAATGTGGATAAGAAGGGGATCTTGTTATCCGCTGTTTCATAACTTGACCTTTCACCTACCACCACGCGAGCGCTGTCCTGTGTCGGTTCCTTCGCCACCGCCGCCGTCCCTGTGCCAACACCGACATGTGGCTGTGCTGCCCGTGCTCTTAGCTGTGGCCTCTGCTTCGTGGCCCACGGCCCTGCAGCACACCTTGTCACCCTGAGGTCTGGTGCGAGTGTTGACCAAGGTTTCAAGTTGCTGCCATGGCCATTGGGTGCGTGGTCCCTGTTTGCTCCCCTCCCCCAATGACCCCACGACGCGTGGCTGACTGCACACTGGCTAGCCCCAGAGCCAGCTGGTCTTGGCAGGCGGGCCTGGGCCTCCCCCGCGGGGCTTGGGTTTCCTCACGAGCTACGCAGCCGACTGGGTTTCATGTTAGCTTAGCGCTCTGTGTTCTGCAGCTTGCCTGTGTGTGTCCTTCGCCCATTTCCACAGTAAGATACTCCTCTTTTTATTTTCGATGTGTATGAGCTCAAAATGTCACGAATACTAACCGTTTGTCTTTTATGTGTATTACAGATATTTTTCCGCTGTTATTTGTCTTTTAGCTGTGTTTTTTCTTTCTTGTACAAATTCTCTTTCTGATTGTAAAGTAATATGTGGTATTTTATTTTAGCATAGAAAGCCTGAAAATACAAAAACAAAAAACCATAAAGCTAAAGAAATAAACGTTGCCAACCGTGTCACCCGGAGACGCATGCCTCCTGTTCTTCATTGTGTCCTGTTGCGTCTCTCGTGTGCGTCTGCTGTTTGAGTTTCTTAAACAATATTGGGTCCCTTGTCACGTAGGTGGTTCCGTACGCTGAGCACTTGTGATGCGAGAATGTGGAATACACCAAAGTGATGGTGGGACTTGGGGTACTTTTCATTTATTTTTCTTTGTCTTGATTTGCGGTTTTTGATTCTACACAAAGATCACGTACTGCTTACGTAAGCAGTAGATTGTTAGACTTGCCATTTGCTGGAGTGCAAATGGGCAAGCCACCCCCCCCAGCCATGAACTGGGCACGGGGGGCAGGACAGCAGGGCCAATGGTGGGAGGGTGGCTCCCTGGCTGGTGAGCCCCTCCTTGCACACGGAGCAGGGTTGGCAGCTCGTTGCCCCAGTGTTCCTGGCCCTGTTTTCAGTGGGGGCAGCGGGCAGGGTCCTGGAGCCCCTTGGAGGTAGGGGAGCAGAGGTTCCCAGAGTCGGGGTGGCCCTGCTGGCGTGCCTCTCCCCAGCCCTGTCTTCCAGTGGAGGTGGGAACTCATCTCTGAAAGTCCTCCAGCCTTGAGGCAGAGCGCAATCTCCGTGCCATGTCCTGGAGGTTCTTGTGGACAACTTCTAGGTCCCAGGGTGCTGTGGGCTGGGGGGCTGGGGGGTTGCTCTGTCCATGGGAGGGTGCCACAGGGGCCTCGGTGACAGACATAGGGCCTTCCTTCTGCAGAGAGGGGCTGTTTTCACGGCTCTGCCAACAGGCTCCTGCCCGCACCTGGCTGCCCCTTCTCCCAGGCCTTGGGTGCCCTCTCAGTCCGCTTTCCTCCCAGGCTCTGCAGCAGCAGGGGGCTGTGGATGGGCAGGGCTCTGGCTGGTCGGGGACGGGATGATAGCCGGGAGTTGATGAGGGAAGGGGTGAGTGGGCCAGCAGTCTGTCAAGGCCTCACACAGATGCCCCCCGCCCTCCAGGAGCTTCTCAGAGCTGCAGTTGGGCCTCCTGCAGAGGCAGGGAGGGTCTGGCATGTGCACGTGGCAGAGGCCCCCTGGCCATCCTGGTGGGCAGAATGTGTTTCAGGGTGAGCTATGGCCACCCCCGGGGTCTCTGCCAGCCTGCCCTCCCACATGGATTAGCCAGGAAGGGTGGTGATTCTGATGGGCGGGACCCGGGCCAGAGCCCCTCGCCCAAGGCCTCTGTGTGAACAATGTCACTGGGTCTTATGAGGGTGGTTGGGTGAAGATCTGCGTTTGTCTGCATGGTCACAGGGACAAAATTTGGAAGGAAGCAGCCTCCTCTCAGGGGCACCAAACTCAGGGTGGGAGGGGGCTGCTCCTTGGCCCTCCCTGACCCCAGTAGACTTGTGTTTCTGTGGTGACATGACCAGAGACCACCCTGAACTTGACAAAGTGGAATGCCAGTCTTGCCTGGAGTCCCCTGGCCCTCTGGGAGCAGCCCGAGGAAGGCACTAATCTCACCGCCGCAGGTCGTCCCCTGGCCTCCTGGGTCTCCTGTGGTGGGTGGTGACTGCAGGGCAAGCCAGGGCTCTGAGGCTGTGCCCCGAGGGCTGTGCTGGGCTGGCTGGCTACCTGGGCCCCAGCTCTGTCTTGGGGAATCCAGAAGGCGGGTAGCTGGCTCTTTGGGGGACACTATCAGCCAGGCTGGGAGGGGAGCCCTGGAGAGGGACCCTCAGCAGGTCCATGCAGGAGTCTGGCTGGCCGCCTCTCATGCCCCCAGACCTCTCAGGCCTGCTGCTGCCACCGCTGTTGTCCCCCTGGCTCTGCCTCCCTGGCCTTGACGGTTTTGTGTGTTCTCTTTCAGACGAGCCAAACTAAGGCTCTATCTGGAGCAGCTCAAGCAACTGGTGCCCCTGGGCCCCGACAGCACCCGCCATACCACGCTGAGCCTCCTAAAGCGGGCCAAGATGCACATCAAGGTGAGCAGGGTGGCACTCCTACCACGGCCTCAGCCGACCCCAGCCCGTCCTGTACACCCCAGGGAGGGACCAGGGGCCTGACAGGGAGCTACCTAGCAGGTGTCCACTGGGGACCTCTGGGGTAGTGGGGGCTTGGGGATGCTGAGGGTGGAGGGGGGCACAGGTACCTGCTGGGTTTTATCGAGAAGTGTTGGAGGGGTGGAGGAGGTAGCCATGCCGGGCTGGGAGAGGTGAAGGTGGGTGCAAATGGCCCCTGGGACCCTGGGCTGTGGAAGAGAGGTGGGGGCAGGAAGGGCAGGAGGGGAAGTGGGCAGCCCAGGGGTGTTGGGAGGTTCTGGGTAGAGGGTGGGGTTGGTCTCCTTGGGCTGACAGAGGGGGTAGATGGAGTGAGCTGTTGTTGGGGGTGGGTGGGCCTCGAGACCACCTGCTGGTTTAGGAGTCGAAGGTCCCTCAAAGGACCCCTCAGAGCCTCCAAGCCAGCACAGGCAGGGGTGCCCTGGGGCAGGGTGGCGGGAGCTTGGAGAGAGGCACGGAGCAGGCAGCCTGTCAGAACAAAGTGCTGCCCTCAGGGACAGGTGGCGGGGGGGTGGGGGGGAGATAGCCGCAGTATGGGGGGCAGTGGGGGCAGGACCATCAAGGGCAGCCTGTCCTCCAGGAGGCTGCGCCAGCCCAGGGCCCCCACGTGACTTGGCTTGGCCAAGTTGGGTCGTGGCCATGGGTCTTCTGGAGCTGGTCGGCAGATGCAGAGCCTGGGCCTGGGAAGTAGTGCCTTCCGTAACCCCTGGCAAGTCGGGGGGTGGCCTGCGGGGCTGGGGTGGGGTGAAAATCTGCTCTGCCCAGGTCTCTGGGCCCCAGTTCCTGGTCCTGGTCTGGGGGGGTGGTTCCCCCACCCCCACCGCTCACAGCACCCCCACCCCCAGAAACTGGAGGAGCAGGACCGCCGGGCGCTGAGCATCAAGGAGCAGCTGCAGCGGGAACACCGCTTCCTGAAGCGGCGGCTGGAGCAGCTGTCTATGCAGAGTCTGGAGCGTGTGCGCACAGACAGCACGGGCTCCGCCGTCTCCACGGACGACTCTGAGCAAGGTGGGCATCTTGGAGCGTCCCCGGAGGGAGATGGGAAGGGGGTGGGCTTGGCCGAGGAGGCAGCCCTGGGGAGGCTGGGGATGACAGCAGATGCAACAAGCACTGAGTGTGGTCGCCTATTGGACGGACGAGGAGGTTGAGGCATGGAGGGCAGCAGGCCTGAGCTGCGGGCTCCCTGTTCCTCCCTAAGCCGTGGACCCAGAGCCCTCACACCCCCATCCCTGGAGCCTCTGCTGCCTCCACCGAGGTCAGCCCTGGCTTTGAAGGGAGCCCCGGCTGGCACCTCCATTGCTGATCCTGCCTCTTCTGTTCTCCCCAGAAGTGGATGTAGAGGGCATGGAGTTTGGCCCCGGAGAGCTGGACAGTGTTGGCAGTAGCAGTGATGCGGACGACCACTACAGCCTGCAGAGCGGTGGCTGCGGCGATGGTGGCTACAGGCCCCCCTGCCGGCGGCCTGGCCGCCCCGGCCTTTTGTAGGCCCGGTGCCCTCGGCTCCTCAGCCCGCCTGCCGACCCGGCCAAGTGCGCCAGCCCTCCAGTCCTCAAAAGCCTCTCCACGGGCCCGCTGCTGTGCCATTCTGGAAGCTCCAGCTGCCACCCGGGCTGCCCGCCTCCGCCCACCTGCCGGTCAGGGCCCACCGTGCCGCCCATCCCTCCCAGCTGGGCAGGGACCCCTGCAGGGAGATGGGGCCCAGCTCCCACGTCCCGGAGCCCAGCGTAGCTGCCCACGGTCTGTTCTCAGATTCCTAATCATTCCAGAAGTATTAAATATCATTGCTGCAAATCTCGGCGGGCACCGTGTGAGGGGCTTAATGACCACTGCGGGGAGCTCAGACTCCAACCCTGGATCCCAGGAGAAAGGAGTGGACCGAGGAAGGAAGGAAGGAAGGAAGGCGTGGCTCTCCGTCCATCTGTCCATCTGTCTGTCAGTCCACGTAGGCTCCTGAGGCCTGGACAGAGGGACCCATGAAGGGCGGGACTCGGGTGAGCACCCTGGGGCAAGTGGGTGGAGAGGGGCCTTTGCACCCTATAGGTGTCAGGAGCTAGGGCTGGGTTCCTGGGGGCAGGCCAGGCCACCCCGCCCCAAGCTGGGCAGCTTCTGCTCTGGTAGGTCCCTCAGATGTACACACGCACATGCCTAGGCACACACGCACACATGCCCACACGCGCACATGCAGACACACGGGGTCTGGACCCAGAGGGCACGGGTCTTGGGGAGGTCGGCCTTCAAGGCTTGTCTGGGCACATGCTGGCTACAGGCCTGTGTGTGGCTCCTCCCCCCCAGCCTGGCTCCCCTTCCTGGTCTGCACAGGGTGGGGGGCTCCCCTCCCAGAGGCTGGGGTGCACTGGGGCAGCTGCCTGAAGCTACAGAGTCCTCAGGAGGCTTTCTCATCTACCTTAAAAAAAATTTTTTTTGCTGCACTGCCCAGCAGCCCCGAATGGGGCTCCCAGGAGAGAGGCTTTTTCCCCAAAATAAGAGAAATGTTTTTAAAAAGAGAAAAAAGCTCTAAGGACTCCCCGCCAAGTGACATCAGCGTGTGCTGCCTCAGTTTCCTGAACGAGATTTTTGTACTCTATTTTCCTAGCCATTGTTGTGTCCTTGTTTGCTGAGGGGTGGGAGCGACCCAGCGTCTCAGGGACTCGTCTTGTCTGTCACCGTTGTCCAAGTGTGCCTTGTGTCCCGTGTCTGGCCCCGCCCCACCCACCACCACCAGCATCTCCCTTGTGGCCCAAGGGGTGCCCCTGGCCCACCCCGCAGGTGCCCTTCTAGCTTCCTCCCCAGGCGGCAGCCACTCCTGGCAGCCACGGCCTTCTGTGGGTGAGAGACTGCCGGGCCAGTCAGGAGTCTTGGGGACGGCTCTCTGTCACCTGGCCCCATTGCTCGGGGCCTGCCGGGCAGCCTGACCTCATGGTCTCCCCTGTCCCCAGCTTGACCCTTCCCTGCTCCCCCTGCTTGGGCCGAGGGCTCCGGATTTCAGATATTGGCAGCTGATGGAGATAGCCCTTCCCCCTGGGTAGCTGGGCTTGGGCATTAGGCAGCTTCTCTTGGCCTTTTGTTCCCGAAGTCCTCGTTCGCACAGCAGTATTTGGGTGGCGTGCTGTGGGGCTGGCCCGCAGCTGCGTCTGCTTCCCTCTCTGGTACGTTGTACCCAATTTCTGGATTGTGGAGAAAGTTCGTGTTTGTTTTTGGTCACGCCAATGGACACCCCCGGGGCGGGTGGCCTCCTGAGGTAGAAAGGGGTCCTGGAAGCAGCTCTGGCACAGAACCTGCCCCGCAGGGGCTCAGGATGACATGTGGAGAGCAGGCCCATGGGAGGCAGAACACGAACTGGGGAGATTGTCCTGATATCTTGCTGGTGGTTGCAAGGAAAACGATTCTGTCAGCATCTCCTTCCAGCTTCCCTGGGGGTCCGGAGCCCAGATCGGCTTCTCCCATCTGCCAAGTGCCACACAGTGCTTCTTGTGAGCACCCAGCTGGCTCTGAACAGGGTAGGAGGGCCCGAGTAGAAGATCCTGATGCAGGAGACACAAGTCTAGAGCCCTGAGATAGTCTGCGCTCTCAGATCTTAAAGCACTAGCTCCCCATATAGCTGGCAGCTCTGCTCCCACCCCAGCCAGCAGAGTCCTCCCTGGGTGACCAGCTGGGGCCCTCAGCTGACCTTCCTGGCAGTTCAGCCCGTGGCTTTTCAGGCCATGGTTCCCATGTGGGCCGGGGAGTTGACCTCACTGGCTGCCTAGGGGCACTGTGGTCTGGAGGCACCTTCCCTAGCCAGGGTCCAGTGCTAGGGATTGTTCACACATGCTTTTACCCCGCTCCCTCCAGCTCCCTGTCTTTTACATAGGTTAGCTGGTGCTGGTGGCCAGAGACTCAGAGGGGGCCCAGCTGAGGCCACGTTGGATAACTGAGCATCGTGGAGTCTGTAGGAAGCAGATGGGACCCAAACAGGGCTGCGGCGGAGTCTGTGACCTCTATCCACATGCCCTCCAACACCTGTGTGGGCCATTGTGGCCCTCGGTGGCTAAGGTTTGGGTCCCCACCCTCACTGGGAGTTGACCCTACACCAGGCCACCACTGCCCCAGTGCAGACCCAGCTGGCTGGGGAGACTTCAAGACAGCTGCTTCTCCTTGGAGCTCTGGGCCTGCCTCTGTAGTTGGGGTCTTGGAGGCCCAGCACCCCAGCCTGCTCTCCAGGGCTGATGGACCCGTGTGCCCAGCTAGAGCCCTGAGGGCCCCCGCCCTCCTGCCTGCCCCAGACAATCCCCATCTGCTGAGTGAGGCAGGCTTCCCCCATTCTCCCACCCCCTGCCTCTCTCTGGGCCAGCTAACCTGGGGCTCCCTCCCCATGGCCATGTACACAGAACTCTGACCCCGGGCCCCATATAGGGCAGGTTCTGTGCCAGAGTCTGGGGCTGCCCAGGGGGCCTGGTGCTGGCCAGGTCCGTGCATCACGAGATCCTCGCCGGAGAGAATTGGGTCACCCACCTGCCTGTTTACCGGGAGGGACTGTGCTGTACCATTCTGTCTTTGTAATATAAATACAGATTTTTATACCTCATCCCTCTGGCTTCCAGTTCTTTCCATCACCATATTTGGCTCCCCTCCCCTCAACCTCCATGGGGAGCCTGAGCCCACTGGTGACCTTGGCAGCCTTCACTGCCCTGTCCCCAGCTTCTGCTTTTGGGGAGGCCCAACAGACCGAGGTCCTTCCCCACTGCCAGCCAGCCACCACGGAGACATCACCTTCGCTGCTGCCTCCAGTCACTGGAGTCACTCAACTCCAGTTGAATGAAAGTGGAACCCCACCGCGCCCCCCCATCTCCCAACGAGGTGCCCTTGCTCCCGGCCTTCTGACTTTGCTCCTGGCCCTGGGGTGGGGGCACTGTCCTATGAGGACAGCTTGGCCCATGGGGTGGTCAGCCTTAGAGTAGACAGCACGTGTTCTTAGCCACGTGCGCTTTCCACACGGCTGCTGTTGGCTGGCAGGGGTACACCCTGAGTAACCTTCCTTGGACCTGTCTTTGGAGTCCCCAGAATATCCCAGGCATGGCCTCTGCCTGCTGCTGTGCAGGGTGGGGATATGAAATGGTGTGGTCCCAGCACAAGGCAACTAGGGGACAAAATGCTCGGGTAGTGGGGAGATGGGTAGCCAGAACAAGACTTCCTCCCCCCACCCCTGGGGCACGACAGCGCACTGGAAATGGCTCAGTGATCCCCTCCAGCAGGTTCTGGGGTGTCTGGGAGAGGACCTGCACTGACCTCCACCCTCCCCCAGCAGGAAGCAGCACTCATCTCTTGAACCTGGAGACCCCTGGGAGCACCTCTGGAAAACAAGGGAATTCCTACTGAGAACACAGCTGGGCTTGGGGTGCGAATATAAATGAGCGACTTTTATATTCCAAATATCGCTAGGACTTTAAATCACCGCCACCTTTTATGGAGCTCAGAAGGGCTCCAGCAGCTGTGCTAAGCACTCTGTGAAATCAGAGCCCGCTATCCTATCCTCACGCTGGGCCCATCTCAAAGACGGAAAACTGCGGCTCAGAGCAGGTACCCACCTTCCCCAAGTCATCCCCTGAGTCTGGGGGTGCCTAGGAATGGACCCTATCCTCAGGGAAAGCCTTCTGGCCACCAGATTCCATCTCCATATTCTGCCTCAAGGGGGACGCCTGCCTCCATGTCAGCCTTCCTGCCCAAGCTCTTGTTGGCAGGCAGAAGGACCTTAGGTGGTCTTGTTTTCCCCACCCCCAAAGCCTTCAGAATGAATCTCAGAGGACTGCTTTCTCCCCATCTGCTCCTGCACCTTCAATGCTTGCTTCCCACTCTGGCCCTTGCTCCCTTCCATCCCCACGCACTCACCAGCCTCCCAGCTCCCAGTCCCCTCTCTGACCTGCTCCTATGTGTCTTCCCATCACACTTCTGCTAGGATTAGGGCCCCCAAACTTGGGTGGCAAGGGTCTTTTCATGCCATTTCCTTTCCTCCGTTCCCAGTGCCTAGCTACCCCAGGCCCCCAGTGCAGGCTAACTGCATGAGGATCTTTCCAGAATGTAAATGGGATTATGCCACTTGCCGGTTTAGCTCCCAGTGGCTCTCAACTGCCTCCTTGTTGCCTTCTGCCTCCTCAGCCTGTCTGGAGGGTCTTCATGAGCCCCCGAGCCCCCCATCAGGCCCCTCACTGCCCCCTTCCTCAGAACCCCTTTATCCCCAAACTCTTCCCATCCCCAGTTGAACTATCTTGGGGAGCCCCTGCCCCCAACCTGTTCCTGAGTTTTTACTTTTGTTACATGAATATCAATGTGATGGAAGACTGAATCACTTTCTTCACACCCTCTTCCTTGATACCCTCTGCTTGCTTCTGACTAGGCAGGATTAATAGGAAGAATGGAAGTGCTACTTTCTTGCTCAGCTAGATGCTGAGAGTCACCCCGTCTCTGGCCCTTCTGGCTCCAAGTTCTGCCCTCAAGGCAGCTCTCAGCCCCTCCAGGAGCCACCTTGCTCCTGCTCTCCCCCAGATGGCATCCGTCTCTGGCCACCTTTTTGTCACTTTTGTTACTGAGAATGTCACTCCTCTGCCTGGAAAAGCCTCCGACTCCTCTCGTTGTTTGAGAATGGAGCCCTGCCCATACCCAAACCTGCATCTAAAAATAAGTGATCTTTAACATCAGACTTCTATCTAGTATTAGACTATCTAAAAACATATTGTCCAGAACCTAGAATACTTTTTAGTATCAGCAGGAGAAAGAAGATTTCTACAGGAAGGAGAGGAGAAAAAGCAATCTGCGAGCCCACCATGGCTCACAGCTGGGCATGGACGCTGCTGAGGGCCTGGCCTGCCTCCTTCCACCACGGCTCATCTGTGGGTTCCCTTCATCTTTCGACTCTGTAAGGACCCCACTAAAACCCCGAACGATTTTGATTGGAGCTAAGAAACCTCATCTTGGAAGTATGTGTAACTGTTTTGCTTCTTCAATCCCAAGTGCAGCGGAAGTACAGGAATGCCCTGATGAGATTTCAAAGCCAGCTTCGGGGGCTTCATGATTAAGCCCACTGTATGTTGTTTGTACTCTGGGAGCTAATAACATCGCGATTTCTACTTTATGTTTTTATGGCTTTATTTATTTATTTTTTGGCCCCACAAACATCTTTCAAAGTAATAATCATGGTCAGCAATTCAAAATCATACGGAGAATTTGTGGGCCCAGGAAATGACCCAGGAGTTGCACTGAAATGTAGGATTCTAGAACAGCTCCCTATGCTTTATCCTCCTGTCCCTTACCCTCCTGTCCCACCGGGATCTTTCCAAAAAGCAGCCCCTTCTCCTCCTCTAAGTTCCTCTTCACAGTCTATAAACATCCCCAAGTTCCTCTCATCTGAAAACAAAACAAACCCAAACCCTTCCCCCATCCGCTCCCCAGGGTAATTCTGCTCCTCTCTCTCCCCCAAACTTTGCCTCCTCAGCGAAATGTCCTAAGGCGCTGTCTGCACAGTCTCCACTTCCTCCCAGGCGGCTGGACTCCTGTGGGTGGGGGGAGGCACGAGTCCCCATCCCTGCCCCCCAGGTCAGTGGCCAAGGGGAGTTCTCCTGGTCCATGGGCTCCAACCTTGCTTCTGAGCTCACCAGTCTCCTCCCTGGTCCAGTCCCAGCTTGTTTCAGGCGGGATATTAATCTGAATTTTTTCCCCTGTAATCTTTGCTTTTCAGATCATTTTAGGCTTTATTGCCTTTCAGAAGAGAAAAATAAAAAAAATAAAACAAATGAAGGATTAATAAGTATCTTCCACTCAAGATGCATCCATGATTTCTGCCTTAGACCATTCTTTTTTTCCCCTCCCCGTAAAAAGATTAAGAAAAATTATTCAGAAAGATTTCTGCCCTTCCACTTCACCCCGAGACTACTTCGTCTCGGACAAGCCACCTTCAGGTCATTGGATGCTGGGGGTGAGAGAACCGACTCTGGGGTAAGGACAGGGCCGGAAGCACGTACATCGGGAGGTCAGTCTGTGGAAGACTGGGGAGGGAAACGACTGGCGGTAGGGATTCAAAGTGGCCGCGGCCGCACGCCGAGGGCAGCCCCGCAGGTGTGACCGCTCCGGGCTGTAGGGCATCGGCCAGGTGCGCACGGACTGCACAGGTGGGGTGCAGGGGTCTCCCCACTCGTGGACTGACCACCCATGTTCTCGGCCTGGGACGGTCCTTGGAAACAGCTTACTTCTTGACTCACCTCCCCCATACACTACCACGTACGTTTCTATATTTTCAACTCTAAGTTGTATTTTGAGGGGCGCCGGGGCGACGCAGCCGGTGGAGCGCCTGTCTTCGGCTCGGGTCGTGATCCAGGCTGCCAAATCGAGGCCCGCATCAGGCTCCCTGCTCCGCGGAGAGCGCGCTTCTCTCTCTGCCGCTCCCCATTCCCCGTGCTCCTGCTCTCGCTCTCAAATAAGTGAATAAACCTTTTTTTAAAAAGTTGTGTTTTGAAAACGGAATGCAGAGAAGTCGGCTTTTGCTTCGAGGCCCGGCGAGGGCTCGTGCATTGCGGGCTTTGCAAGACACCGCTCAACGCCGAAGCCGGTAAAGCGAGTCAGGACAGCCGAGCCAGAGCCGCCCCAGACGAGATCCGCCCGCTCGGGGTCCCGCAGCGCGTCCGCTCCCGGGACCTGCCGAGGGGCGCGCTGGTCGGAACCGGTCCTGGCGGCCCCGGGCTGCGGCCGTCCGTCCCTGAAAACGGCCTACTTAAGAGAATTCGGGTCTGGGGAACTGGACGGCAGGACCGCGAACCCGCCTGCGTTGAGGTGCCTGTCCTGGGTCGCCGACCTCCGCAGCACTCCGGGCGCCAAATCCCGACCCGCCCCAAGTCCCCCACCCCGGCCCGCGCATCCCGGCCCCGCCCCCGCGGCAGGGAGCCAACCAGCTTGCCCGCACCGCGGGGCGCTGGGCCGGGGGGCGGGACAGCGCCCTGCTCAACTCCGCCCCAAAGTCCCTCCCCTCCAGGCCTGCCTCTTCCGACGCCGCGCCTGCGCAGACGGTCAAGCCACGCCCTGCCTCTGCCCTCTGCGCGCGCGCGGTGGCAGCGCTCCCGTGAGGTAGTGCGAGACGCGGAATGCGGCGGCGGGATTCTGAGGGACGCGAACGGAGCTTCCAGAGGTGAATGGCGCCGGCCTCTCCGTTCCGGGGCGTGGGGCTGTGGGAGCGGCGCCGATTTTCTCTCCAGGCAGCCCTGGGGACTCCTTTCAGGCGCGCGGGTACTTGCCCGCGCGGCACAGTCGGGGTCCGCAGGGGTTGGAGCTACGGGAGAGGGCGAGGAGTGCGAATGCCAGCGGGAGGTGGGCGTCGGCGGGGAGCGCGGCGCCGGGGAGAGTGAGGAGCCTTCCGGTGGGGGTCGAGGCGGGGGCGGGGCAGGGCCGCGGGCGGGTCCCCTCGGGCGGGCCCTCTCGGGCGGGCGCGGGGGTCGAGGGCGGGCGGTCTGGTGCTCTTGGGGCGGGCGGGGCCGCGGGCGGCGGGTCTCGCGCGGTGGGGGCGGGGCCGCGGGTGCCGGGGCCAGTGCCGCTGGGGTCTGTGCG